TTGACTCTTTCTTTTTCTTTTTCTTTTTCTTTTTCTTTTTTTTGAAGGGTTCGGGATGGAATAGAGATTTTTCATTTTGGGGTTGTACTGGGCTAAGATTAGCCCAATCTAGCCACACACGCGAGTTGGGCATAGCCTAGCCCATAAACACTTCTTAATTCCTCTTTTGACAAAAAAAAGGACCAAAAACCATTTTTTATTTTCCCTCCTCCTCTCTCTCTCTCTCTCTCTCTCTCTATTTTCTCTCTTTCCCTTTCTTTCTTCTTTTTCTTCTTCCTCGAATCCAGCCCTCCATAAACAAACTATAACTTGTTCACCCCTTATTTCTTTCTCTCCCCTTCCTTTTTCTTTCCTTTACTTCATTTCTTCTCTTCCTCCTTTACCAAATCTCCATCATTCTCCTCCTTTCTTTCTCTAGGTCGACACCTGCCATGGATGAACTAATGATGGTTCGTCTATGGCCACTTAATTCCTTATCTTTTCTTCTTTCCTTCCTTTCCTCCTTCCTCACCTCTTAATTTCCCTCTAAATTGAAAAGCCTCAAATTGATTTTCGAAATTCCTAATTTTTTAGCCAAATCCTAGGTTTTGATTTTCCTTAATTTTCTTCCAATTAGACCTAATTGACTTAACCCCTCTTGAAATCACGCTAATTCAAACCTTTTAGGGCTCGATTTTTGAAAAATCCCCAATTCAATTTTTTAAAAAGTTTTAAGAACCCTAAGTTTTCAATCTTATTCAATTGAGTGTAATTTTAGTTTTAGAAACCTAAATTGAAACCTAATTGAACTCGGTTAGCCCTTATCTTAAACCCTAAACATCAATTTCTAATCAAATAATAAAACCCTTAAATTTGAACGTTGATATTGCAATTCAAAAATTAAGAGAAATTGATTTACCTAAGTGAAATTGATTTGAGAAAAATAATGAGATGTAGTTGCTCCAACAAGTAAATTCTCTTCCTCTTTCTTTTTGTTCTTTTGGATTTGTTCTCTTTTTGCTTACTCGTCGGTTTCTCTTTTCTTTTTTTTTCTGATTTTTTTTCTTTTCTCTCAAACTAACCCCTCTAGACCCTTTTTTCTATATGTGAATTGTGTATATATATGTTTTTATGTGTGTGTGTGTGTGTGTGAAATGTTTAGTTGGTTCCCCACCATGATGATGAGAGATTTTGTTACGGGATATAAAGTGGGGCTGATGGGATTGTGGTTATGGGTCGTGTAAGGTAGTTGTGTAGAGGTGTTATAGAAGTTGCAGCAATAAGGTTACTGTAGAGGAGGCTGCCGATGGAGATTGTGCTAGGATTTACAGCAATAAGGTGGTCGTAAGTTGAGGCCGGAAGTGGAGGAGACTCGTGAGTCGTGCATAAGGGTCGTAGATGGCCGACATTGTTGACTCGAGGAGAGAGGTTATGTTGCAAAAGGTACAGCATGGTGAGGTTGCTAAATAATTCAAAGGAGGCATAAGGTTTATCTAGGGGGTACTTCAATAACTCGCTAGTAGCTGGAATTATTGGCTTGGGGGAGAGGTTGTGAAGGAATTGCAAGAATTACGGTAAAGGGGCGGAAGACTTGGTTAGCAAACTAGATTGTGGAATTAGTCTAGGGTAGCTAGGAAATGCTGGAAAATTGTATAGGAGATGGAGGAGAATTGTCCCACAATTCCTTTTTTTTCCTCTCTTTTTTGTATTTTTGTATTTTGTATAACATTGCAAATAAATGAAAATTCTTTTTTTTTTTGTCTTTTTGTCTAATTTCCTTAATTATTATTTTTTATTTAGTTAAGCATGAACTAAAAACAAATAAAAGTAAACAAAAGTAAAAGAAACTAAAATAAAAAAGAGAAATGAGAAATGGATAAAAATTAGGGTATGACACCCGTTTTGAGCAACTTAAAAAATTGGTCGATCAATCGGACCTCTTAACCACTACGAAACACTCCCCTCAACCTCATGAGTCGATTGATGCCTTCAAAGTCCCTTATAATTGGCAAAATCTTCACCGGGAAGAGAAAGAGATTTTGTCAAAACTTTAGTGTCGCCCATCTCACTCTTCCAACATTGGCAAAAGATTGCAACCCTTACAGTTGAGTTTATGACGACCTCCTCTACAACGCGAAGTGGTTCACACATTTGAAGAACCATTAAACGATGATCGAGTAATCAATAGCAATTGTTCATCGTTCGGATGGTAAATTCATAATTTCATTATTTTTTTCTCTCATCCATTTATTTTTTAATTACTTTATGTTGTTAGTTTGTAATAATGTTACTTTTATTTGTATTAGAAAACTTAAATTATGTATGCATGTTTCTATTTCATGCTTAATTTAGATTTAGTATTTTGAATTTCTTTATTTAGTCAATATTTAATTTTAGGATGTATTTCAATGATTGAGTTAAGTAATTAATAGGTGGATAAATTATCAAGTCTCCTAATTTTTAAGGGCTAGTGATGATTCTCCACCAATAAACGAAAAAATGAACAAAAAAGGAAAAAAGAAGTGCTAGGAAAAATGTTAGAAAAAAATGCTAAGAAAAAGATAAAAAAAAATCTAGGGAAAAAGAAAAGAAAAATAATAATAATAAAAAGAGAAATGTTAGGAAAGGAAAAAAATGCTAGAAAAAAGAAAAAAGAAAAAGCTAAAAAAAAAAGGAAGGAAAAAAGAAATGCCATGGAAAAGATAAGAAAAATAAAAGAGAAAGTGCTAGGAAAATAATTAAAAAAAAGAAAAAAGAAAAGCAAAAACATAAAAAAACACTAGGAAAATTAACAAAGTCTTTTATCTAATAAGGACTCGATATTAATACAAATCAATCATTCTAGTAATTAGGTTGTTTTACGACATGTCAATTATGTCGAGACTTTAACTAAATCCGATGTCGAATCGACGAGATGTCCGTTGAAGGGGTCCGACGATTGATTCAACATGAAGCCACAAGTAAAAATAAAAAAAACTTAGTTTAGCATAGGAAATAAAACTTGAAATTTTGACTTGGATTAATCTTAGCAAAATAGATATTTTTTTAGGAGATAAACTTTAAGATTAAATTAGATGTGATATCTTTTTTAGGAAACGATACATTTGCGTGATTAATATCTTCCTAAAAACGTAGCCAACTTCTTACTTATGAATTTCCGAATCGATGCTTACTTTAGGTTCTTAGTTCCTTTAACTCTAAAATTAATTAAAAAAAAAAACCCAAATCCCCAAATAAACAAATCTCTAACATAATAAGTTTTAAATAAAATTTTGGAAGTCCCGCGAATGTCGGGTAGGGACAATACCCGTAATTATAGAAATTATGCTAACACACTCATAATCCCTATAATTATGCCAACAATGTGGTTTTAATTGACCTTAATCACTCCGGGCTTGACATTTCGTTGTCTGGTTTCTCAATTAACGCATATAATATATATAATCACGAAATTAAGTTGCCAATTTGCCATTTATTTCCTTTAAAATGTAGAACTGAGGTCTATTTGCAAATTTCGTACATTGTATTTGCTAGGGATCAGGATTAAAGCAAGTCAGATGCACACGAAGTTTGAAATATCACGATTCATGAACAATACAAGCCTACTAGGTAACCAAGTCACTAATAATATATAAAATAGTTTACGTACCAAAAAAGCTTACAAGCAAGTCTCATTGTTAATTTGATTACTACATAGTACGTATGCTTCGGTGTCAATTTTGCTTTGAACGTCAAATTGTCTAATGTTGTTATTCTTGGATCTTTTAATATGTTCGAGTCAACTATACATGAAATCATATTAAGGACATTCTTTCAAGTTCCTTTAAAATATCAAATTATTAATCAAGTAGACCTCCTTTCTCGATTCTTACATCTCTAGGCCTACCTCTCCCCTGAAAACATCTGCATGCCTGCTTACTAGTGCACATTAGAATAATTTCTTCTCTTCCTAGTTCCTGCAATAAATATCAATGCTTCACTGTACTCTGATGCACTAAATTTGGGTGCCAACTGCCTCCTTTTTTAACTGCTCCGCAACTCTTAGATTAGCTACTTTTTTTTAACTGCTCCGCAACTCTTAAATTAGCAATGTCTATTTATCTATGGAAAAGCAAGGAATCATGTGCATCATCACTCTTTTTACAATTTCAGAATCACATCATCCGGAAGAATTTCCATCCTCCCTTTTACTTTTTTTCTCCTTTCTATCTATTTACAATGTAACTACGAAAAGCAAGATGACAAAGTCATAGAGGAAAACAGACATTCTTTTTTGTCATACCTATTATGTCCAATTGCGTCAACCACATAAATAGCAGGATCGACCATAATAACCAAATCATAATGTTTTGGTCCACTAAAACTTAGTCTATATATGGTCATGAATTTAGGGGAAAACGGAAGAAAAAAGAAAAAAAAACAAGTATTCGTAAAGACAAAATTTTCCATCCACTGGTTAATCAGAAGTTTCTATATATCCTGGGCCTAATCAAATGAGCTCTAAGCAGGACAATTGAATAGAAAGAATTACAAGCTGTTAATGGCTAATGCATCCCTTTTTGCAGGGAGACTTATCTAGCTTTGGTAGCGTGATAAATGGCATTCAGTTTATTTCTACTTATTTTGATAGATTTTCTTTTATGCATTTTTTTTTAGCAAAACTATTTTCGAAGTAAATAAATATATGAAATGTTCCTCATCATATATTTTCAATTTGTATTTTGTTGCCACATTTTCACATCCCTCCGATTTCTGGTTCTAGTTACTAATTATTTCTTGTTAGTCTTCTTCTCTCTCTCTTTGTCTTTTTTTTTTTTTTTTTTAATTAAGAATAAGACTTGCCTTCCCACATTTTTTTCAATCCAAAATGCAATTTTATTCTCCTTTATTCATAGGAAAATTCCATTACTTTCATACATAGTACGAATGAATCTCTTGGAAGGGACAGACACCATGTCTCCAAATTAAGTTCATTTTTTATTTTCACAGAGGTAACATTCTTTATAAGCAGCAGCATATTATTACTTGCTAATGGACAATGCTCCATCCAATTTTTCTGCCAACTCTGATTCGGGTATCTTGAAGTGATAAATTTGGATGTTGTCAACATCAAGCTTCTGGAAATCACTACGTTTTCTTGTGACAGAAAATTTCCCCCAGTTGAATGGTTTGTATTTGGCAGGCTTTTGCTCATTTATCAGCTCCTTCAGAGGCTGAACATTAGTGTAGTGTGCCGGGCTAAGGAAATAAGGAATGGAAAATCTTTCCCTTGCTGAATTCACCATCGCCCTATGCTCCACACTCTCATAAATGTCATTGCTCCATACCTACAAATACATTAACATTTACAAACAACAACATTGATTAAGTTGTTAATTTGCGAGTTTGGAAAATGATATACCTGAACAATGTCACCAACATTGATGATGTAGGCATTTGGGAGTGGCTTGACCCTAAGCCACTCTCCATCTGTTTTCCTCCTCACTTCCAACCCTCCAACATCATCTTGAGCAAGGATGGTCAAGGCAGTGTCATCCTTGTGTCGACCAACGCCCAGAGCAAGATGGGAAATTGGGCAGGATGGATAGTGGTTGAGTCTAATGACGCTGGTTTGTTCTTCGAAGAATTCAAGGAACCTATTTTCTGGCAAGCCTAGACTCAGGGCTATTAGCTCCATCAATTTGAAAGCTACTTTTTCCATTTCTTTAGCATACTCTTCACAGATCTCTCTGTTCATTGAAATTTACCAGATTATATAGAGTAATTAAGGCCACTGATTAAACTACTTGGATTATGATAACACTTTCTAGGGTAATTCAACCTTTAAATTGTGCGTAAATAAAAATAAGAACTAAATTTTCACCTTAATAAAAAAAAAGAATAAGAAAATAATTAATATTACATATATACCTTAGTTTAGGAGGATATTCAGGCCACTGATTAAACCACTTGGTTAGTTCCTTATCACCAGGCTTGTATGAAGCGGGAACAATAGTTGGATCTTGGACAGTGAAATCAAACACTTCTTTCCAGTCCCTGACATTCTTGGTATGCTCAGTGTCGAGATAACCCAACACTTTCTCCTTATTTCTCCTAACCTTATTTTTCTCCTCTACAGGCTGACCAAAAAATTCTCTTGATGCTTTCTCAATGTTTTGTCGCTTAGCCAGTGGCACCCCGTGATTGATCACTTGAAAAAAACCCCAACTTTTGCATGCATTGCCTATTTCCTCAACAAGACTATCAAGTACACGAGGATCGTTTGAGTTGGTGTTAGGAGAACTGATTACGGAAAGATCAATGAAGGGTATGCCTTCTGCTTTGATGATCCCAGGTTTTGGCCTATGCTCTTGAGCTTGAATGAAAGCTGGATCAACCTCAGCCATACCTTTATTTTTTTTTATTTTTAAAGGTTGATCAAAAAGCCTAACTAACTGGTTTATGATGTTTTGTAAGCAAAAAGATGGTGAGGCTATGGTTTCTTATACCTTGTTAGCAAAGTCTAGACAGCGTTTGTTTAGGTAAATATTGTAGACAAATTTGTCTTGGAATGCCACGTTTGTGGTGGCATGGCATTGCAAAGTTTGTTCCAAACCGCATTAAACGAATTAGACAACAGGGCAACCGGTCCATGACTCTTATATTTTTTCATTTTAAGCTGTGTTTTTGTGCTAGATTTTATGTACTAAGATGAGTTTTACCTCTCATATCCCATTGAAGACAGTAAATTTATACTTAAACTTAAAAATATCAGTATAAGTATCATACAAAGTTTACTTATCAAATATCATTACTCAAAACAATAGTTATCTACCTATCCTCATATTATACATCTTATAAAATAACGAAAGATTAGTCCGAGATTTTAGACCCGAAGGATTCAAAAAAGATTGATAATAGTCATCCTTGAATTAGATTTTTTCTTTTTTTTTTTTTTGGTTAACGCTAAAACCATTTTTAGTTCAATTTACATTTTAACTTAAACTAAATTTATCTTGAGACGATTTTAAATACTCTTTAGAATTAGAATTTAAAATGATAACAAAGAGAAAATGTAAGTTAATTTCCTTGAAGGATAGCCCTCAGTGTTTAACAATATTGTTGTTGTTTATGAGAGTGAACTTTTAGTTGATAATATAAAAGTTAGTTAAATTAGTACTTGATTAAAAATAAAATTAATTATACAATTATTATTCAAAAAGTTAATAATATTTTAATGTCAATGGATTTTTATAATTCAAATTGTCCCTACATATTTATGCTTAGTGTATTCATATTTACTCTCTATCTCTCCTTTTTGTTTTATTTTTTGTCTTATAAATTGTATTTAATACTCAATATAGCAGAATATATATATATATATATATATATTGTCTTATTATTTTATTTTGTTGAATTGATTTTAAATTTTTGTTATTTATCTAGTTTTTTACCAAAAAACAAAACAGTTGCGTATCATTAGAAGACTGTGACATTAATTGTTGGATATCATTTCCCTCTTGGCCTCTTAATTCCATTATTAAATGCCCATAAAAAGAAAAAAGAAAAAGAAAATCCAATCTTTATTCTTTTTACTAGCGGAAGTTAATGAAAGAAACTCAATAATTAAAAACACATCTTTTTCTCCATTTAACTTTTTTTCTTTTTCTTTTTTTAAAAGAATAGTAAAAACTTTTATAGCCATCCTTGAATTATTTTTTGTCGGTTAACACTAAAAGCATTTTAATTAATTTATATATAAAAAGAACCAATTAATTCTTTCACGGGACGAAACAAGGGTAAAGAAAGGATTTGCTTTCTCGAAATTATTGGTTACACTTATCTTTCCGTGTCCATATCAATGTCGTCAGTTGGATGGAATCGTTAGTCGGAGGTTCAATGGATGAACTATCTCGCTGCGTATTCAACAACATCTCGCTGCATCCGCCACATCATCGAATGTTGCTCCCAAGTGTACTCTTTTAACTCATTTGTAGTAGCTAAAAGCGTTATAACAGAACCCTCTAGATGCTGGATCCGTTCCGAATGTCTAGAAGTAAGATCTTCCAATTCTTTTTACTATGCCTCATTAACGATATGGAATTCGAAGTGACCGGGCTAGAGGATGTATGTACATTAGAGTAATATTGTAGACGTCCTCCTTTTCAATATGTACGGATATAAAAATTGCGAAGTTTTTCTTTTTCAAGGTCAATGTATTTATATTCCAATTTCATATATCAAGCAAATAAAATATTTTATAAAAAAAAAATTATAGCAATCTAATGATCAGAATGTGGATAAAGCATGAGCCGACAAACCTTCACTACCGAAATATGAGAATTAGCGACCATCGCTAATTCTTAAAAAACCATCACAAAATGAAATTCAGTTTTGTGATGGTTTTAAACCGTTCGTAAAATGTTTGTCGTTAATTTTTTAGTGATGGTTTTTTCAGTCCATCACAAATTTAGCAATAGAAAAAACCATCACTAATTAAATAAAAAATTATCGCAAAATTTATCCAAATTTACAACTTCTTTGGTTTTTAATCATTGAATTTGAATAAATTTGTGATGATTTTTACAAAATTGCTGCAAAATCTATCAAAATTAGTGACGGTTTTAGCGATGACTTGTCAAAATGGTCACTAAAATTGTGATTTAGTGATGATTAAAACAATCGCTAAATCCATTGGCAAATTTTTTTTTCAATTTTTTTTAATATTTACCCAAATTTTAATTATTTTAAATTAACCTATTCCAATTTAAAAACTAAAAAAAAAAAAAAACCCCAATACATAAGATTTTTAAATATTATAAAATTTAATAAAATTGAATATATATTAAAATATTAAATTATGAAAAAGGTATAAAGTTTGTTAATATTACAAGAAAAATAAAACATAAAATATAGGAGCGATTAGTAGGGTCGTCGATTGAAGGTTGGATGGAATTGTTAGTCGGAGGTTCGATGGATGAACTATCTCGCTTCGTATTCAACAACATTTGCCGCATCCGCCGCATCATCGAATGTTGCTCCCAAGTGTCCTCTTTTAACTCATTTGTAGTAGCTAAAAGCGTTATAACGGAACCCTCTAGATGTTGGATCCGTTCTAAATGTCTAGAAGTAAGATCCTCCAATTCTTTTTACTATGCCTCATTAATGATATGGAACTCGCGAAGTGATCAAACTAGAGGATGTATGTACATTAGAGTAATAGTAAGAAGCCCGTGACCCGAGTTCGTACATCCCTTTCCTTATACTATCTCCCCCTCTATTAGCCTTTTCAAAAATCCCATTCATGTTGATATCGGTTGATGAAGTACCCTCCGTCTACCGGCTAGCAACCTCCTCAATTATTTTTTTTCGACGGTCTCCTACATAAGTACACAAATATATAATATTGAATAGTTATGTCAATAATATATATATATATATAAGTGACATACATATGAAATAACTTTATAAATTAATAACTTACTTCGAGAACTCTTGCTCGTTGATCGATGAAGAATTATTATAAGTAATTAATTCTTTCAATGATGTATTTAATATTTCAATTACAAATTAATTAAATTTTAAAATTAAATTAACAACAAAGTTAAATATACTAATACGTAATTTTATATTTTAAACAAATTATAATAATTTAATTATAAACTAAATGATTTAAATCAGTACCTAATTAATTATTTTAAACAATAACTTACTAAATTAATTACCAACTCGTTGGACTTAATTTAACAAATAAAAAACTAAATTAACAACCAAATTAATGAAATGACGCATGTAATTTATATTTTGAATTTAATTGTATTAAATTAATTATAAACTCATATTTTTCTTATTTCACTAGGTAATTTATTATTTTCAACACAATTTATTAAATTTACTTATTAAGTAATTGACTTAATTAACAAACAAATAAATTAAAGTAATAATTAATTATATATTATATACAATATTTAAATAATATAATTGTAAACTAATTTTGTCAATTAACAACCTAATATATTATTTTAAATAATATTTTATATTTTTAATTAATAAATAATAAATTTACTTAATTAAATTTTAGTTAACACCTAGCTAACATGTAGCTTGGCTAAATAGATATAGTGTTGGCATTAGAAAGTAAGCTGAGCATGAAAGCTCATAACTTGACTAGCGTTTAGTTTGGCTAAATAAACATGGTGTTGCCATCAAAGTAAGCTAAGCATGAAAAACTCATAGGTGGTCAATGCGCAACTTGACTAAATGAACATGGCGTTGTCATTGGAAAAAATAAGGAGGTTAGTTGCTTAGAGCACCATATCATCTTTTTTAAAAGATCTTTTCTTGACTAATTGACTATAGACATTCCTTAGTCTCTTATGGTATGACAAAGTAGACTAGCAAGTTGATTCATTTTGTTCATTCATTGCCCAAATGTCCAACCTTGGAAGGGCTTTAGGTATCAAGTGCTCTATCCAATAACAATCAAATCGAGGACATAAGAATTAAAGAAAAAAAAAACTAAAAGAAGTGGGGTTATTCCTATTCATTCACTATAGCTACACACTCAAAGTCACTATTCATGGTTTTTTTTTTTTTTTTTTTGTATCTTGGTCCTTCATTCTTTGAGAGATAAATTAATTAGTCCCTTGGGTTTGAAAAATAATTTTTTTTGTCATTTTCACCATTTTACCATTTTTATTTTTTCTTTCACCATTTTACTAGTTTTATTTTTTATTTTAAGAAATAGAAAAAAATAATTCTTTGGGGAATAAACTAATTGGTCCATTTGGTTTGAAAACTAATTTTTTTTTTGTCTTTTTGGCCATTTCTATTTACTATAGCAGTTTCCCCCTCCCTTTGTTTTGTTTTTTTTTTTTTTACCGCCGTTCATTCTTCTAGATCCAATGATATATATTAACTTCTTCACTCATGCATCGTTCTCCATTTTTCAATGAATAGACTCTGCAACCTTCATTGCCTTGAAGGTAATATAATTTGTTAACTAATTTATCCTCTTTCCCAACTATTAAAGTATCTATAGGACTATTATTACGGTTAACAATTATAATATATTATCATTATATTTTACAAAAAATAGTAGTGTTTTTTTGCTTTTTTTTTTTTAACGTCCGGCCTCTTTTTTTTTTTTTCAATTTCTATATTTGCATGACTATTATTATATGGTCAAATATATTATTTAGGTTCTTATTTATTACAAAAAAATAGTAGTGTTTTTTTGGTTTTTTTTTTAACCTCTGGCCTCCTTTTCTTTTCGGCTTTTATATTTGCATAACTATTATTATATGGTCAAATATATTATTTAGGTTCTTACCATTTTCGTTTATTGTAGCAGCTTCCTCCCTTCCTTTTTTTTTTTTTAAAAAAAAATCATTCATTCTTCTAGGTC